CCACGTTATTTCCGTGGACGATGACCCGTCTCTGAACCCCTGGACGTTCCGTTCGTTTTTCATCGGTCTGGGTCTCTCCGCCTTCGGTGGTTCATTGGGTACGATTTTTATATCGGGTGTCTGCCAGTTTTGCTCACGTATTGTGCAGCTGAGATTTATTATTTCAAACCCGTGCGGTCTATGAGCGTTGTGTTTTGTCACTATCTGATGTAGCTTTGATAGCAAACCGTCTTGGTTTCTTTGATGTTCCTTGCCATCATATCGTACGTCATTGGCTTCGCGATGGAGACATTCATTCCTCGCCACGGCCTGTTCCGCTACCTCAACCCCGTGAGCCACACCAGGCATTTCTTTCTTTCTTAGCGACTGACATCCCGTACCAGCACCCCTTCAACAAGAAGGAGAACGCGTTCATCATCATCATGGCCAGCGCGGCAGCCAACTCTGCCCTCGCGACTGAGGTCCTTGCCGTTCAGCGGTTGTACTATAACATCACACCCAATCCCGCGTCTTCCATCTTCCTGTTATTCTCTAGCCAGTTGCTCGGCTACGGTATTGGTGGTGTGATGAGATGTAAGTTGATCACCAGCAAGAAACTTTCATGAATCTGACATCTGGAACAAACTAGCGACCTTATTGTACCCGTCGAAGATGCTTTACCCCGGTGTCCTACCGCTCCTTTCCATGTTTGACGCATTCTTCCGAGACGGTGCTGCTGCTCGCCGCAAGCTAAAGGTTTTTTACATGGTGTTTGGAGCGTAGGTCTACCACATTTACTTGGATCGACATCCTGCTTACATGAGGATCATAGTATCTTCATTTGGGAACTCTTCCCGGAATGGATTTTCCCGCTGCTCACCGGCTTTTCAATTATCTGCCTTGCCGCGCCTAACAATGCTGCCGTCTCTCGAGTGTTTGGTGGGAGCGACGGTAATGAGGGTCTCGGGCTCTTGTCGATTTGCTTTGACTGGCAGGTGGGTACAGGAGAGCGTTATCGTTGTTAGTATTGTGATTAACGTGTCCCTTGCCAGTACATCTCTGGTGGTATCAACCCGATGACTATTCCTTTGAAGGCTCAGGTGAGCTAGAAAAGTATCCTTGGGAAGAGCGCATATGTTGACAGCATGCTGCAGTTTTCGAGTTTCATCGGTTACATCCTCTGCATGTACGCATCAGAGCAACTCGCCGTGATGACGGTCTGATGTGATTTTCTTAGGGTTGTCTTCGTTGGTGTCTTCTACAACAACATTTGGGAAGCGCAGAACTTCCCCTTCGTACGTGCCTACATACTAAGATGTTCTAGTACACCCCGCTAACAACGATAATTAGCTCTCCCAACTCCTCTTCTACGAGAACGGCACGATGTACAACCAATCACTAATTTTGAACGAGAACTATGAAGTAGATCCCACTCTTCTCGCCGAGCAAGGCTTGCCCTACTACGCCTCAACCTGGGTTGTCTACCTACTTTCCACGAACCTCGGTTTGGCTGCTACGTTCACCCACTTGCTCCTGTGGAACCGAGATGACTTGCGCGGAGCTTGGACCTGGATGACGCCTACTGAGCTTCGCAAGAAGTGGCAGAACATGAAACTCTCCAACCTCAACTGGAAGTTCTGGCAGAACGATGGCATGCGCGAGCAGCCCGAAAATACTGAAGACCTCGACCCTCACTACGTCCAGATGTTGAAGGTGAGTCTCAGGGTGTCCGTAGCCACACTCACAAGTGCCCGACTAACTCTGGATTCAAGTACCCCGATGCGCCAGACAGCTGGTACTACTTTACGTTCTTGATTTCCTTCATCGTAGCTTTGATCGTCATCTACAAGAGCAACTCCACGTTGCCCTGGTGGGGTTTCGTCATTGCAGTCATTTTGGCAATCATCTCCATCCTCTTCTTCGGTGCCTTATATGCCATCACGGGTATCGGTCTCTCAATCCGTAGGTAAATCATTGTGCTCGAGAACGACGGAGCTGATTTCGGGTTTAGAAACCTTCGTACAGATGATTGCAGGATACTTGCACCCCGGCAAGCCGATGGCGAACATGTACTTCGTATTGTACAGCTACAGTGCGTTCATCATCTCACTTGAAGAACAAAACCTCTGACCCGAATTCTCCAGACACCGTGTCACAGGCTCTGCTGCTGCTCCGTGACTTGAAGATTGCTCAGTGTAAGGCTGCTCAGCTATGATCACGAACGCGAGGATTCACCCGGTCAACAGATGCTAAGCTCCCTCCTCGTGCTGCGTTCACCGCCCAGATCCTCGGGACTCTCCTCGGCGCTGTCCTAAACTACTGTAAGAGCTGTATCTTATTGGTTTCCCTGAGACATGCTCATCTAGTTTTGTCTAGACTTGATGAACTCCATCGTCGAAAACCAGCGGGAGATCTTGCTTTCCGTTCAAGGAACGAACATCTGGTCCGGTCAGCAACCCCAGCAATACAACTCCCAGGCTATTGCATGGGGGGGTCTCAGTCATGAACTCTTCTCCGTTGGTATGCGGTACCAATGGGTTCCGTGGTCCTACCTTATCGGCTTGTTTGCACCCGTGCCCTTCTGGGTCATTCACCGCTACTACCCCAAGCTCCGTCTTGATTACTACTACACGCCCATCATCTGGTATGCTCTCGCCTACCTCTTCATGCAGTCCTATATCTGATGCAATACGACCCGTTTAGCTCGTACATCGGTTGGCTGTGCGTCGGGATCAACTCGTCGATCTTGTCATACTTCACGATTGCCTTCCTGTCCCAGTGGTGGATCCGTACCCGCTACCCTCGCTGGTTCCAGAAGTACAACTACCTCGTCGGTGCTGGTGCGTCATTATGACTTTTCATCCCCGCATGGGACAGATTTTATTAACTGAGTGCGACAGCTCTCGATGGTGGAACCCAAGTCATGGTGTTTATCCTGTCGTTCGCTGTTCAGGGCGCAGCAGGCACTGCTCACCTCTTCCCCGCCTGGTGGGGTGCAAACCAGGGCGGAAACTATGACCGTTGTTTGTATCTTGAGTGAATGTACATGCAGGTGTTCTGCTAGGCCGGGGTTTCTCTGGGCTTGTAATTTGTTTGTAGTTTTATTAGGATGTGCAATGAAGAGCAATACACCGAATGATGTCTCAAGCAGAGCTCTCGATGAACCCAGCTCAGTGACATTGAGGTCCTCAATGGACAGTAATTGACACCGCGACCACCCACCGCGGACTTCCAAAATATAACATACCTTTGACACCGGTCGCCTAGTGATGCAACAATGCTTCTAGAGTTCACCAAATGGCAAAGCCACATCCCATCCTTCCGATCCCTGCTCATCGTGTCTGCAGTCCTGCGAATTGGGCTTATACTTTACAGTGAATGGCATGACGCCCACTCTGTCGTGAAATATACAGATGTCGACTACCGCGTATTCAGCGATGCTGCACGGTTCCTACTTCATCCAGGCCAGGTCCCTCATAACATTGCGCAAGGTCCATTAACAAAGAGGCTAGGGTTGGAGATCGGAGAGTAAGTTGCGCCCACGTTTGTGATGTCAGGAGCGGAGTAGAGCTGACGCGACACCCCGCTAGTCCGTATGTCCGTGAAACCTACCGTTATACGCCTTTACTGGCTGTCCTATTGCTGCCAAACGAGCTTGTTCACGCGTCTTTCGGAAAGTACTTGTTCGCGGTATGTGACCTCATAAATGGGGTGCTCATATACCGCGTGCTTGTCACCTTCATCCTCCACTCGCCCTCTACAGAAGGTCCAGCGCCGTCAGGAGACCGTGCGAAGGCCATTGACAAGCAGCAAGATGTCTCTGCAGTTAACACAAGAACTCTCGACAGAAACGCCTGGGCAACTTTTCTTGCCGCGACGCACCTTTTGAATCCGCTAGTATTCAGCATATCCACCCGCGGGTCCTCTGAATCCATCCTTTGTACACTCGTGCTTCTAACCCTCTTCTATGCTCTCAAACGTCGATGGGACGCTGCCGCCATTATGTTAGGAATTAGCACACACTGGAAGATCTATCCTGTCGTATACGGTGTCAGCTGTGTGACCGCGATCGCATCTCAGACACCGCATCCAGGCTGGGGATTCTCGTTTCTGAAGTCGCTCGTTTGCAAGCGTACCATCCGCTTTGCGGTCCTGAGTGCTAGTACATCCTTCGCTTTGGGGGCCTTTTGCTATGCCATGCAAGTGTATTTGCCTTTCTTTTTCGAAAGAGTGCTGATAGACCCTCAAACACAGATGGGGCTACCCATTTTTATACGAAGCATACCTCTACCACACAGACCGTCTAGATCACCGACATAACTTTTCACCTTACTTTTACCTGACTTATCTCACATACCCCGGCCAAGCCGACATGGTCACATTGCTCAGCCTTCCGCTATGGCAACGTCTACTCCGCTCACCGCTCACCAGCCTCATCCCGCAACTCTCCCTCTCTCTCAGTACCGGAGTTCTCTTCAGTCGACGGGTATCGGACCTCCCGTTCGCATGGTTCGTACAAACCTACGCGTTCGTTCTATTCAACCGCGTGTGCACATCCCAGTACTTTTTGTGGTACACGCTCTTTCTACCCCTCCTAGCCCCACGCATACAATTCTCGTGGCGCAGTATCGCAGTCTGGGCCGGGACACAGGGACTCTGGCTCGCCGAGGCATACAAGCTCGAGTTCCTGGGCGAAAATGTCTTCTTCAGTCTGTGGATGAGGAGTCTGGTCTATGTTGCCGGGCATGCGTGGGTACTAGGGAAGAGCATGGAGGGATACGCCGCGGGTGCTCCGGATTCCTAACTTATAACTTACAAAGAGCCGCCATGTGAGCCGGTGGTGTGCGCAGGTTGGGAGAAGGATGTTGCGTTGGGACTAGTGTCTAGACAGACTTCGGTATTGATTCACTCCAATGCCTAGATATCATGATGTCTGTTGTGAGAGTTGTGAGAGTTCGCTGTAGTCTGGGCTGTACAGTAATGCAGCTAAACAAAATAGGAACGTAAAATAGCAAAATGAATGCCAGGACCGTGGATTGAACACGGGACCTCCAGAAACCAGCGGAACTTCAGTCTGTTGCTCTCCCAGCTGAGCTATCCCGGCGATGAATTGATTAAAATTCCAAGCAATAATAGTGCAGAGGTTTCTATCCCGGCTGTGCGTCTCTTAGGTTGTGTCTTTGTTGTGCCTGGGTTCATTTTGTCGGTTCCATCATACACTTGCTGCATACATAAGTCCGTTTACCACCTAGGAAGGTCGTCGATATGCTGAATCTTGGGGTCACGGCGAGGAAAGGTAGAAGAATACCAATACAAATATCGTCGTTGCGTCACGAAGATGGAGACGCATGCACCGCAGCCTCAGACCCGCGACGACAACCCCTTCGGCAACACTGTTTCGCTGAATTCCGTTCCGAGAATAAGCATGTCTGACACCAGTTACATAAATAGGGCAATTCTAGGAGCTGTATTGCTCGTGGTAAGAGTCCGACAACAAGGACGTGGAGCGAAAGCATAAGATTGACCAGAGAAAGACGTATGTCTGTGGAAGAAGGCGCACGAAGGAAGAGAGGTAGGTAGTGTAGTAATTAAATGTACTTCCTCACATCTTCGTACTCGGCGCCCGTGCATTATATCTGTGGAAACACGTCAGTCAGTCAATGACACGTGGAAGTAGTAGGTGAAACATACGTATTGTGAGACCCATCGGAACCCTACGAGGAAGGTTGCGGTAAGCGAATGAGGAATAGTGAACGTACTACATTGGAGCCTTACCTTCTCCGTATCCCTGCCTTTGCACAACCGAGCACATGAAGATTTCGATAGGCCTGATGTCGTTCAATGGCACCTTGCCCTAAATGCGCCTTATCAGTACCTACTTTGGATCAAGAGGTGAGTAATGGAGTCAGACCTTGCCGGTTGTCTGATAGAGACCAAGATGGTGTCTCAGCTCCTCCTCGCTCACAGCGCCAACTGCGTCAATCTTGTTGCCGAGCACGAGGAATGGTACTTTAGCAAGCTCCTCGATCGAGAGTAACGCGTCAAGTTCGGCTTTCGACTCGGCGAAACGTTCATAATCAGCCGAGTCAACCAGGAAGACAATGCCATCGACTTCGGGGAAGTAGTCACGCCAGAGACGGCGGGCTGTTGCAGAGCAGGCCAGTCAGTACGTAATAGTAAAAATGAGAGAACAAGATTGAAATGGAGCGGTGCCACGTACCCTGCTGATGTCCCCCAAGATCGTACGTGGTGAATTTCACGTTGCCAATTGCTAGTTCCTCGGAGGCTATCGGTGATGGGTGAGAGTCAGTCGCCATATGGAAAGGTGTGTACTCTTACTGGGGTGGAGTGTGGGCTGTAGAGTAGCCAGACGGTCATTCTTCAGCATGTGCAGAAGAGTCTATCGAGGATGATGTTGGTTCAACCTTGCTGGTGCTTCAGACATGACACGAGACCAGAAACTTACCGTCTTTCCGGCATTGTCTAGGCCGAGGAAGAGAATTTTGGCATTCTTGTGCAGCAGTCCTGTGTTCAAAGAATGTTAGGCTATCTCGTGGACTTTACTGGTGTAGTTTTTTGGGGACATACCGAGCTGAGCGAGGACATCCCAGAACCAGTTAATGATGAACATGGTAGTCGTCGAGAAGTAACAAGCGTGAAGAGCACGTCAAAGTGTGAACCTAACTTCAATATGGCGCCGTTGGCGTGTCCCGTGATGTGACATCTCCTTGTCACACTGTGATTGAGCGTCACCTGTCACGTCACCCACGCTCATACGCGCTGTCTGGGCTCCACTTCGAATTCTTACAAACTCCACCACAAATTGTACACTAGGGGTCGTCGGTGCCCACTCTGACCTTGCTTGCTGTGCGCAATCCTGCCTCGATTGGTAATTGATTTTCTTGTCTTGTTCTTTTATGTCGAAGCATACGAACTCCACCACAAATCGTACACTGACGACGATCGATGCCACGACGATCGCGGAGGCTGCATATCGCCGGTAATTTGCCAAAATCGCAAAACTCCTTGCTTGGGTTCTTTGGCACGCAATGCAGAACGCCACGGTAGGGTACCAGTTCAACCAACTACTATTTCTTATTGTGACTGGAAATTCCATCATGTCTCATGCAATCATCGTCATTTGGAATCATCATTATTGGATTTTGGTTGCAATAAGATATAGGAAAGGTCTGACGCTCACTGCACCATACATCCTCGAGAAGAGGTGGTGCGTGTGCTCATAATCCTCACCAAGCTTTCTCTCCGCATCACCGAATCGCCATCGTCCTTCCTGGATTGTAGTAGAACGGGCACTGTCTAAAAGGTTGCGTTGAAGAAACGCGTGAAGAATTTTCTTCGATCATATACTCCCGCTGTGTTTGCTCGTGTTTGGGTCGTCGACTTTTCCCCTGAGCAATATTAAGGGTGTCGCCGAAATTGAGGAAAATAGGATAGATCGATAGCATAAGTGAGGAGACAGGTCACTTTGGAAGCTCGTCCAACCATGACTTCAAGCTATCCAGGCCATCTTCGCCGAAACTCTTTTCGTCATCCTTAACCTCTCCTACCTTGACCCACGTCCCTGCGAACTCGACATCTCCACCCTCCCATTCACTAAACTTGAATGCGCCGCCAGCGGGACCACTGCAATCAAGGCCACCCATCTCTGATCCTTCCCCTTCTGCGCCTAAACTCTCGACGCCCACGCCTCCTGATTGTGATGCCCTCCTCTTCTCCAGCTCACGCTCCAGAATGGTGCGAACTCGAGAGATGGCAACTTCGGAAGCTGAATTCGACGCAGAACCCGTCTTTAGGAGGTCGGTCTTGTGAGCAAGAACGAGCAGTGCCGGGGTAGGCTGTGTCGGTGGGAGTGATGTGATCGCATGTAAAACATGGTGCAAATGTCTGTGTAGCATCATGAAATGTACACCTTCAGTGAATCTGAGAGGTACCTACTCTGCGACTGCAGAACCATTGCGTGAGATCGTGGTGGCATCAACGACAAATGCGATAGCTTTCGCGTCAACGAGATGCTCCTGGAACTGACCCCTGATACGAGGGTGCCCAGGTACGTCCACCACACGCAAAGTCTTGGTAGGGGACAAGACTACCTGGGTCGAATTTGTTTGCAAGGACGTATGCGACGGCAGGGTCTGGTTGTATGCAAGCTAAAATTCCACACTATCAGAGATATAAGCTAGAGGAGGAATGCCGCGAACTGACAGTTGAAAGGATAGCAGTTTTGCCCGAGTCGGGAGGGCCAACGAGAAGCAGTGCATTTCCTCTTGATCTTGACTTTCTCCGAGTAAACGACAGGACTAGTTTCAATTCAGCATCTCTTCGAAAAATAAATCGAACATAACAAACTAAGCAAGAACAGGACGGTTGCTGCCAGTGAAAGTAATACAAGGTTCTGAGCCGAAAGACTCCCGATTAATGGTGCAACTTCAGGGGTGGGTGAGGTTACAGTGTCTTCCTGAGGATGATTTTCCATGATTATTCAAACGGTGCAGCAAGTAGTATATGTAGCAACAAGAGAAGTGCCCTTCGACTGTGGACCGTGACAGTGCGACGTCAATTCGGTGTAATGTTTGGTTTTGTTAGTATGAGAAGCCTTTGGTAAACATACGTCAATAACGTCTACAAGTATTCCTACTTTGTTCCTACAATAAAGAATTGCTAATCACAAGGGAAGGCATGGGGTCATGTGTATAATTGTTTCCAAGTAAAACCGAGTCAGACAGGAACCGCGCGGTTCCGTAAACCGACAAGTAAACCATTCAGCTGCATAAAATTCATTTTCTGGTCGAACTGCACCCTCATAGCTGATTCTTGATCTTTGATCGGCCAGGAGAACAAGTTGTTCAGGTCATTGCTCGTCTGGATCCCCATGTCGGCAAAGTGGGAATGAAAGTCTTCAAGGGATGGCCTTAGAGTGCGCAAGAACGCGAGCACTGGATCAACAGTTGGGCCTGGGGTGGAATGACAGGGGGCGTTGGGCTGCTCGTCGCCGTCCGGTTCAATCACTGCTTGTTTTCTTTCATTCGTGGCTCGTCTTGCGAGCGCAGTAACAGTGGTAGTTCTTGCTGACCTGCGAAGCTGTGGCCGTGGACCGGGCGTCTATTGCACTGCCGTTAATATAACACAAGCAAAATTATAATGGAGGCTCACGGAAGCGCGATGTAGCACTTGACAATTCCTACGAATTGGAGTCCCAGACTCTTGCTATACAGTCACATTATGAATGGTGCCTCCGATCACTGAGAAAGAACACATACTGCCTGCGCAAACCGTACCCATATCGGCTCAGGGCATCTCATAATCCTCTTGCGAGGCCCGGTACGACGATCTTTGTGGCTGTCTCGTCGACGAGAATTAAGGTACTGCTCGAGATATCCTAGGACTATCCACGAGTGTTCATATCTCCTTGCTATGTCGGGGTCCCGTTGGTTCACCTTCTGATGGTCAGTCTACTCGTAAATAAAAGGAGGACGACTGGTCGCTTACGGTTTCCAAGAAGATTTTGAACGCGTCAGGATCCTGGTCTTCAGGTCTCAAAGAGTCGTCAAGACATTCTTTGGCCGTAAATCTGATCATGCTCTGTGGATACGTAACGGTGAATTCGCGCTCAGCTGTTGCACGACAGGACACACTTTAAATTCTCCAAATTCAGACTTTTCCATGTTCGCTTCCAAGCACAGGATATTAGTCTGGCGAATCTGATAGTAAGGCATAGCAATCGGGCGGGTTTCGTTCACCATGTTCAGTGTGTTGCATGAGATATACGTCGGTGCTGGTATTGACTAATTTATACTGGATAGATACTTCTGCGCGCTTTTATAATTTCCCTGTGTTGGTTTCGTGAGCTGGAAACCAAGATCGATGATCACGCTAATCGACCGCACGCACAATGATGGATTGCTATCGATACGTTAAAGGGGGGAGATGGTGATGTACATGCGCAGAAAATGAAACCGGAGAAGCATTAACAAAATCGGTCACTGTAAAGGAGTTAGCCAATAGTCAACTGGGGCAGTGTGAGCACGAGAACGCACCTTTTGAGCTTCGCTCTACGATCCAATAGTGCTTCAGCCAAGCGGCCTT